ACAGGAGTAGAACAACCTTTAATCAATAGAGCTTGAAAGTCTATGTATGAATGTTCTAGCCTCCTGGCCTCCAGTTAACTGAGTCTAAGCCATATTTTCCCTGTTTTCAGAGAGTCTTCATGGGGACTGAGGTTCAAGTGTAGTGGTAACACATCCAATGCCATACATGTTACAGTTTTTCTCTTTTCCTTGTCTTACTTTCCCCACTTCCTGTAGCGTCACCTTATAAATGAACTGTGTTCTCCTAAGTCTTTATATCAGTGATTTGTGTGGGGAGTAACCCAAAGTGACCAAGGTTGAGAAATTATTCCAGTTAGAAGACACACCATATAGAAGTTCCAGAACCGAGATTTGAGGATGACAGTTTCAAGGAACTAAAAGATGTTCTCTATGAGTAACCAGAGTAGAATATAAGGGGAAAAGTTGTGAAGTAGCAGGGACCAGTTGGTAGTGGGCCTTAGGACTCCCTTTCACTCTGTTGGCATTATTCCCAGGGACAATGGAATTTTGGAAAGAATAATAAGAAGTGGGGGAGTGATAAACTAAATAGATAGAGGCTAAACTCAAGGGGCAGTAGAGCCAAGACACCTGTGAGGAATTAATGGCAGTAACAGTAACCTCCACTTGGGGAGCAGAGTCACTAGTGACAAAGGCAGGGAAGGGCGGGCAGATGGTGGTGCAGCTGTGAAGCAAGCTCTGTGAGGTTGACCTACATGAAAAGGTTCCAGATTTGCATCCAGAGACTTCACTGAACACATGAGGTACAGCTATGCCTGTGATCCAGGGCTGGCTGAAGCTGGGGTGGATCACAGGAACACCCTGCTTCAGTGGCTGTCTCCTTCTCTGGATGTCTACCTTTCTCTCTTTCTTGCTGTCTCTCTTATTTATGGAAAAAAGAAAGACAGACACTTAAAAAAAAATACACTTCATTTATAAAGAATGATAGTGACCTGAGAGAAATGGAGATTTCACAGTCATCTAGAAGATCCTGTCGTCCTAAATGATCATTGCTATTCCCTAGCAGAGTGAGGTAGGTGGTGGCGAGAAGCAAACTGGCCAGTTAAACAGGGAAACATTTTGGTCATTGACGTCACTCTTCAGGGTGATGTATTAGCAAATTTTCTTCAAGGATCTATTTGCTTCTCAAGAAGTCTTTAATTTATGTATGTACTTAAGTGTCTTAATCTAATTCCAAACATATTTAAATATTTACAGTGACTGAGACGCTCCATGTCGTATCGCTCTGGTTCGCGCTTGGTGGTAATGGATAGAGTTTCCTAGTTATGTTTAAACCAAACTCTGATTCTCAGAGTGAGAAGCCTGAGGGTGTAAATTTTACCAATTTACTGATGAGTGTGGAAATAAATTCGAATGCTGGAAAGCAATATACTAGAGCAAATGCCTTTATAAAACTGTTTCTGACATCTTCTTTGAGATTAATGATTTTACAATTGCAGCTTTCATTTTAGGGTTATTAGTGACCATCCATTTTAGTGAGTGCAGTCAAAGTGGGTTTTCTTGTTCTCTTTAGTCAGCACAAAATAAAAAGGATGATAAACCCATTGTTAAGATGTGGTTTTCTTGAAAAAGGAAAGAAGATCCAATGGAAAGTCATTGCCAGTTTTGAAATGACTGATTTAATGCCAAAGAAGTCATTAGAAATCTTTGACAGATATAAAAGAGCAATCATTTGCAAAGTCAGAAAGAGCTAAATTCAGTACACAATAGGTATATTTCTCTATTTTAAAAGAATTGTATATTAGGGAAGATATAGACATCATGAAATTTTAACGCAATAGTGTCTTACCGTAGGCAGTTTATGCCATTGGGCTCTGTCTTAGTCCATTTCGTTCTGTTGTAACAGAATACCTGAGACTGGGTAATTCATAAAGAACAGAAATGTCTCTCTTTCAGTTCTAGAGTAGAGGGTGAGAAGACCAAAGTCAAGGGCCCCACACCTGCTGAGGGCCTTATTGCTGTGTCAACCCCCCAGGGAGGAAGACAGAAGGGTATGCATGCACAAGTGAGAGGGTCCAGAGCAGGGAGAGAAGGGAGGCCACGCTCGCTCGGACTTTTATCAGGAACCTACTCACTGTGATAAGAGCGTTAATCCATTGTGAGGGGTTAGTCACCTCTTAGGGTCCTACCTCTTAACACTGCTGCATTGTAAATGAGTTTCCAACACAAACTTTGGGGGATATATTCAGACCACAGCAGACTCTTTCTTTCTTTCTTTCTTTCTTTCTTTCAAGAGAGATTTTTGCTATAGAATGCATGAGCTCACTGGAGAGACAGGAAGAGACAAAGAGACAGAAAACGAGAAATCATCTCCCAGGGGGAATGGACACACTGCAATTCCTCGTCTTCCATTCTCCTCTCAGGATTTTGGGCATGTATGCACATGTGTCCAGTATGTTTCAGTCCTCTGGGTTCAGGACTTGAACCACAGTCTGCCATGTGGGAGTTCAGGGACATGACCAGTACACGATCTGCAGCTTCCAATAGCTAATACTTTCTTTCTGGATCTTTTTATTTTAGATGGTTGTCTTTATCATCACTGTTTTTTTTTTCTTTTCTTATTTTTTGCCTAATAATCATATAGCTGTTTTCTATCACTTCAAATAGTTGTGTGTGTGTGTGTGTTTAAACTGTTTTCTGGGATTAGCAGATGATATAAAGGTTGCATTGCTGGGATCCCACGTGACCAGCCATGGTTTGAGGCCCAGATCCCAGGACTTAAAACTTACACTGGACATGTGCCTAAAATCCCAAGCAGAGACTGGAGGAGAGGGAATTGTGACATGGCCATCTTCCCTGGGGTTCATTTCCAAAATCCCAAGAAGACACTGGAGGAGAATAATTTGGCATGGCCATCCCACTAGGGAGAGTGATTTCTGGCTTTCTGTCTCTCTAGCTCTCTGTTATATATATATGTATATATTTTTTATTTTAAACACACACACACACAAACACACCTCTTTATACTTTTAAAATAAGAGCCAATGCTTAAGGCTCTTTTTAGAAAAATGAGGGGCAGCATTTATGAACTTCTTCATAAGTCTCTTCAGTTTTTCCCTATATCAAGGAAAACTAGCTCTTCAGTTACCAGCTTTGTTCATTCTAAATGCTTTTTTTTTTAATTTTGCTTTTTAAAAAAATTGTGCCAGAGGTCATAGGCACCCAGCAAACAGAGACAGGGGGAGAGACAGAGAAAGACAGAGAGGAAAAAAAGTGAGAAAATACCCTCCATGGGAGATGGTCACTCTGCAATCCTTTCTCTTCTATTTTTCCCTCCCTGGACAAACATGCCTGGTGTGTTTTTCAAGCCAGGTCTGGGACTTGAGCCAGTCAGTCAGTCATATGGGATCCAGCAACCTTAAACACCAGCCCTCAGGCTGGCTAGCATTCATTCATTCATTCATTCATTTGTGGATACATACATGCTACAGGGTATATGCACACACCAGAGAAAGACACAGAGAGGAGAGGGGGAAGCACCACCATGGAGAATGATCATGTGTTAATCCCTTCCCCTCCATCTCTCCTTTGTGTTTGGATTTTGAGCACCCGTTCACATGTGCCCAGAGTACTTCTCAGGCCGCCGGGTGCTGGACTCCAACTGCACTAGTAGGCCATGTAGATCTAGCTGCCTTAACTACCAGGCCATGCAGCTGGCCCAACTCTATATTTTCAAGTTGATATAATATACTAAATCTAGAGGTCTCATTGCATTTTTTTTTAAATGTCTTCTGAAACAACCCAAATGTCCACAGAGGAATGGATTGAAAGGTTGTGGCATGTGTACACAACAGAATACTACTCAGCAAAATAAATAAATAAATAAGATTCTGGCATTTTATAGAAAGAGAACAAATGTGGAAGATTTGCTGCTGATTAAAGTGAGCCAGACTATGAAAAAGAGGCATTGTATGTCCCCATTCAATATATACTGAATGTCTGCACTATATGGCAGAAACTGAAAGATGGGAAGGTATGAAGGCATGGACAGCAACTGTGGATACTAGAGACGGTGTGGGAGGAGGGTGGGAAATGAGGGAGGGTGAGAGGGAGGGAATCAAGGTGAGAAAGAAAGAAGCAAAACATATAAGGAACACAAAAATGAAGAATTTTCTCCTGATTATATTACATAGGGTAATATCTTTGACTGGACTAACGTACAGTGTATTCATGCTAGGAAAATTCATACTGTATGCTGCAATGACATATAGTGATTGAATGTATAAAAAACTTTGAAAGTAAAAAGTATTAAAAATGTCTTCAGGTTTAGGTATGTACATGCAATATATTTTCCTCCATGAAATTGCCTTTTATTATCTAGAAAATAAATTGAATATGTAATGGGTAAAGTATCTTTTGATTTTTATTCAGAGAATCTCGATTTATAAGTTCCTTTACTGTTTTGAAGGAATTGATCAAACTAAAAAGAACCCCAAAGTATATGTTCATCATGATGATTGAGCTGATTATTCAATGGACAACTGGAATTCGTGGAGATATTATAAAGAATATCTGAACTTAGAGTTTATACTTTCAGATACTATTTGTAAGCCAGTAACAGTCCAGTCGAGAAAACGGCCCAACTTTATTCTTTTTTTAAAAAAAATTTAATTATTTTATTTATTTATTCATTTACTTTAATTTGACCAGAAAGAGACAGACAGACAGACAGAGAGAAAGGAAGCCACCAGATCTGGGATTTGAACCATGGTTGGCCATGTGGGAGTGTCCACCGCCTTAACCACCATGCCACCTGCTGACCCCACAACTTTATGCTTTTCACGTACTTGAAACATTGAATTACTGGGAGATATATTCTTTGGTACCATCTAGGTTTTGGGTTTTTTTAATCGGCCACAGTAATAATGGGGTTTAGGCAAAGCATCTTTTTTTTTTTTTTTTTTTTTAAGGGAAAAGCTCTTCATTTTACATTTACTATTCTGCACATTATTGATTTTCTTCTCTGGTGTTGTTCCTTACAGAGAGTGAATCTGTCCTTCGATTTCCCATTTTATGGCCATTTCCTACGTGAAATTACTGTGGCAACTGGGGGTAAGTGGTTTTCTACCTATTCACCTTTGATAATATACAGTTTTACTGTAGTTATTATTTTTCATTTACTCTATATTTCAAGACAGATATTTATTGGGAAAATCATTGTCTTCTATCACAAAGTCATGGGTATAAATAAAACCTAAAAACGTATGGAGCTATCGGAAAAACTTTTCAATAGAAAAAAATGAACTTACCTTAGTTTTCAGCTTAGATTTATCTCTGCTTTGTTTCTCAATTTTAATTCATTCCCTGGTGGTATGGTAAGATTGCACCAATGGCAGATATTTGAATAGAATTTTAAAAAAAGAAAAAAAGTGCTTAGAAAAGCTGTTTGTGTTTTTAAATTTTTAAAAATATGCATGTTATATATATATTTTCACCACATGTCTATTAATTTTAGTCATTTTCTTCATTTGTCATCTGTGTCGATTGATAGTTCATTGGAGAGTGTTGAGATAAACACCGAAATTTATTCACATTTTAAAGTTACCTTTTTTCTCTAGAAACTTGGAGGTTAGTTTAGAGATTAGCAATATCCTAGCAAGGTAATTATCATTCTTTGTAGTATATACCAGCAGTCAGAAATACTTTAATCCTTGAGTGCTATTAGCAGATACAAGCAAAATGCAAGAGAATATCTCTGTAGGCCTTTTACAGAGAGTAGAGTAGGTAGAAAAATAGTAGAAAACATCAAAATGGGACAGTAAGTAAAAAACAAGTCAAAGAAATATGTAAATATTCTGAAAGGCTATAAAAATTTCTAACTAAAGCACCACAGAGAAGCTTCCTTTTCCAGCACTGGGTCTTTTGATTGATCTTCTTTGGAGTAGTTGGAAAAGTCATGATGCGTTTTCGTTTTTCTGTTTTACTATGTAAAAATGTGTCATGAGTTTTCCAATTACCTAATAGGTAGTGTAGAAACTATGTTGATCATTCTTGTCATGTTTTAATATAAGGATCAGAAGTTATATATTCAAAAAAAAGATTTTCAATCAGAAATACCAATAAGCAAATAAAAGTTTTTGGGCAACTACTGAGAACAGTAGTAAAAAAAGCTACTTTGTCCTCAGGAATGGATAGCTTAGTGGACTATTGAACAAGGTAAAGCAGAATATGAGGAAATGCTTAGAAAATATAAATGATGAGGAACTAGCAGATGATAGAATGGTCATATCACTGGACTCCCACATGGCCGACTACTGTTCAAGTCACACACCTGGAGACTTGAAACTCATGCCAAGCCATGTGCATGCATGTCCAAAATCCTGAGAGGAGAAGGGATTGAGACCTAGCCATTCTCCTGTGGGGTGATTTCTTGTTTTCAGTTTCTCTGATGAGAACATGTGTCCTATAGTAAAATTCTCTCTAGAAAAATAAAGAAATAAAATAAAATATCAATGATGAAATGTAGAGTTCCAAGCATGACAAAGCTCAGGTATCTATGAGTTATTTAAGACTTTATAGAGAAGTTATTATTTAAGGATTTTCTTGGAGGATGCCACAGTTTCTACGGTTGTACAAAAGGAAGAGTTGACCATAGGGAGGCGTATCCTGAATAAATAAAGAGACAAGACAATGGGTAGAGTATGTTTAGGATAGTAAATACTTGAGTGTGAGTGAAGTTGAATATATTTACAAAACATGTGGCATATTAAGATTAGAGAAATAGTGGGACCAGCAGATGCTGTAGTGGTTATGGCACTGGACTCCCCCATGGCCAACCATAGTTTGAGTCCCGGACCCAATGACTTAAATTACTCTGGGTGGATGTATATGTGTGCCCAAAATCTCAGAAGGAAAATAAAGGAGAAGGGATTGCAGCATGGCCATCCCCCCTAGGGGTGATTTCTGACACTCCTTCTTACTCTCTTTCTGTTCTCTCCAGCAAGTGCAGGCACCCTATGACAAAAACCTTAAAAAAAAAAAATTAGAATAGGTTGGGACAATTTTACATAAACCTTAAGGGTCAGTCAAGTCCATAAATAGGTAATAAAATTTAAAAAAATAAATTTAGACATCTGTGCATGTCCTTACACTGCAGAAAGATTGGAGTTAATGCATTTTATTGGGACAATGTGGCAATAGTTTGTGTGAGAAGTGTTGAAGGTTTTGGTGATTGTGTTGCTTCAAACCCAGGGAGAGAAATGATACTATTACTATTGATTAGAGAGTCAAGCAGGAAAGCTGGTTTTCAGAAAACTAATGACTTCAACTATGAAACTCTTAAATTTTCGTGAAAAAAAAATGGACTCCCTTTAAATGTACACAAGGACTATATCTTTTGAACTCATGTATATGTTAGGATAGTCCCAGGTATGTTACGTTGTTGAAGTATTGCATAAAAAAGGGAAGGTAAGGGGCCAGCAGATGGTGTGGTGGTTAAGGTGGCTGGACTCCCACATGCCTGACCAAGGTTCAAGTCCCAGACCTGGCAGCTTGCTTTCTTACTTTTCTTCTCTCTATCTCTCTCTGGTCAACTTCAATAAAAAATTTAAAAAAATAATAATGACAATGAATAAAATTAAATTAAATAATTCCTTTTAAAAAAAGGAAAGGTAAAATTTTAAAAATGGCTCCAATAAGCCATGAATCTCATTATACCCCCTCATGTCTTTAAAGTATCATATAAAAACATGCTCATCTTTTTTTTTTTTTAAGAGAGATTTTTGCTATAAGGTGAATGTGTTCACCAGAGAGACAGAGAGAAAGACAAAGAGATAGACATGAGAAATCATTTCCTGGGGTGCTGGCCATCCCTCAATCCCTTCTCCATTCTCTTCTTGGGATCTTGGGCACGCACATGCATGCACAAGCGTCCGACATAAGTTTTAAGCCACCAGGTCTGGGACTCGAACTGTGGTTGACCACATGGGAGTTCAGCTACGTGACCATTACACCATCTGCTGGTCTCAAAACCTCCTTTTCTTATAATGTGGATATGAGGGATGTTTTCTGACATTTAGGTTATCAGTATTCCATGCTTTTTTGAAAAGTAAATTATTAATTGCATTTGTTCAAAATCTGGACACAGTGTTAAAGATATGAACAGCTTTGCAATTAATTTCTCAAAATGTTTTATCTTTAAAACTCATGTCAGCAGTTCAGTCAATAAGAAGTATGATTTCCCTTAGTGGAGTGGGTAAGAACAAACCCAAGGAGATGGCCATATCATCTTTACTGCTTCAAAGGACCATTTTTCTTTGAAAAGTTCCTCAAAATATGTGAAAAATCTTGTGCATTGAATGATCTCTATCTTCTTTGAAGAAAACACTAAAGATACTCCTTTCATTTCCTTTACTTAAAATATGTTGGTATGGAACTTGCATACATAAGTCGATACCCTGTTTAGAGCAGGATAGCCAGGATAATACATTGACCTGAGTATCTTCAAAATGAAAGCTGAATTTCATTGGAAAGTTTTTATTTTTAAATTTTATTTATTATATCATAATAGCATATGCAAAAGGAAAAGAGAGAAGGGGGCGGTCTTTTCATGCTGCAGTCCTCTTCCCCCAGCTTGTCAGGTTCTTGGACTGTACATATGCTCAGCCTGTTTCAGGTCAATTGGGCCAGGGATCCAAACCCACAGTAGGCCATGTGGCTTCCAGCACTGCAGTTCAATATCTAAGGACTGCATCACTTAGGCTGGGCCTCATGAAAAAGTCTTTCACTAGATAAATAGCTTGCTTGCTCTTTCATTGTTCACTCATTCAATCTATATTTATTAAGCCCCTAAAAAGGTACTGCAAAGGTTTGCAGAGAAAAATAAGTGATGACCCCTGTTTTCAGAGCTTAGAAACCAAGAAGAGGAAGAAGTGTGATATAAATAAAATAAGAGAAGTCTGGCTGTAATTGCTGAAGGAGCAGAAGGTTGTTCAAAAAGATCATTCTTGTTAGGCCAATCGAGAGTAGGTTTGAAAATGAGCTAACATTTGACATTGATCTCAAAGGAAAGAAGAATTTTAATGGGCCAAGAGGCAGTTTGAGAAGAGCTGGAGTGGGAAGGGACATGTCAGACAAGGGGATGTTTTGCTAAGTGGCAGTGGTAAGCCTGCATCAAGTGTACTTGTAGTGCTGTCAAGTAAATCAGTTTATCTTGAATGAAGAGTTGTAATAAGAGTCTAGCAAAGAGGTGATGGGAAGGCTTAAAGGAAAAATAGAAACCACAAGTCAGGTTAAATAAAGTTGACTGTAGGAAATTCCAAATAGACCAGGGGCTGAGATTTTTAAGTAGAAACACTGAAGTTCCTACTCTATCGATTGCAAATTCTTTTTGATGATGTCTGCAAATTCCTCTTGAACCTGTTTGTGCATTGAATGTGGGGAAAAAAAAAAAGGAAAATGTTTTCCTGGTGAATACAAGCTGTGCAAATAAATACAGTGGATACTTTACACCATAATCCTTTTATCTGACCTCACTGCTCAGCCATTTCCCATGACTCGTTATCCTGGTTATCCTGGTCGGTCACAGGGCTGGGAGGAGAATCTCCATGTGAAGACCCTGGTTAAGGTTGCCCCCTCCACACACACACTCTGTACTCTCTCTCAGGAAATAAACTTTTAAAGAAAAACTTTTCTCTCTCTTTCCATGTGGACACACATTTATTTAAGACTGAAATGAACTTAAAGATAATATCTTGTGTTATTGCTAGGATTAGCATAATTTCAAAACAGAAAGTGGTTTAAAAATACAGACATACACATAATTTACGGTGACCCATCTCTGCACTTTGTATGTAAGTTTCTAGTTAGAACATGTAAATGAAAATTAAACATTTGGTCATTTATTTATAAACTACCAAAGTAAAATCTTTGCCTGTTAAGCACTTTAATATTCAAAAGCTTCAATCATCTATTCAAATAATGCGCAAAATTGGAAATACAGTCTTATTTTCTGGTTCACTGATAGCAGAATCTGAAAACATTCATTTATCTTTCTATTTAAAAATTACTTCAGAATACAAATATTTCAGGCATTCAAAAACTAGTCCTCTGTG